TTTTTTTATATTTATTTTATTACAGCAATGTTATTAAAATGACAAAGAATTCTAATTCATATTAAGTAATATTAATAATTAATATTAAGCTAATTCATAAGCTTTTTGATTATCTGTATGTTTTTCATATTTGAAGTGGTTCTTTTTTCTAATGGTATGCTACGATGAGGAATGCTCTGATCACATATATAAGCTTCATCATTGATATCTTCCTCTTCTTTCTCATCTTTATTTTCAATGATAAATTTTCTCCTTGTAAATGTACGATCCATCTTTACAGCAATGTTATTAAAATGACAATGAATTCTAACTCATATTAAATAATATTAATAATTAATATTAACCTAATTCATAAGCTTTTTCATTACCTGTATGTTTTTTATATTTGAAGTGCTGGTTCTTTTTCCTAATGGTATGCTACTACAATGAGGAATGCTCTAATCATATATATAAACTTCATCATTGATATCTTCCTCTTCCTTCTCATCTTTATCGTCAATAATGAATTTTCTTTTTGTAGATGATGTACGATGATCCATTTTTACGTTATCTAAAAAGTCAAAAATCGTTGTCATAATATAAAAGAAAAATAAGAATTATATATATGGTGCTTACATTTGGAAAAGGATTTATTGATATCTTTAATCAACAAAAAGATTTTGCAATCCTATTAATATTCGCATTCTGTCGGTAATCCGGCATCCTCTTAAATCACGGTAAATTAATATCACTCCCTATAAAACATAATAATCGGACGAATATAGAAATTCAAACTTTAAAAAACTGTATACGTTCTCTCTTAGATGTAGTAATGGAGCTACAATTAACTTCTTTCAGCATTAGTAAAACCGATCATTTTAATGACTTACCCTGGCATTATGTACCCAGCTAACCATTTGCTTGCGGATTGTTAACAAACGGCAAACAATTCCCTGTGGAACGAAGCTGCCAAATTCAGGGCCTACTGTGTCCTCGAGTGCGCCCCAATTGCAACCAAAAGTTGAAATAATATCCTGATGTCAAATTGGGTACAACACCAGAGCAGATATGTCACTAGCAGTGCGACGACAGATTGACGCAACAAATCGAGAGCAGGTTTGTCAACCGCAGACCGACAACAAATTTGCGCCAAATGCCTAGCAGATCTACGGCAATTTTCGACGACAAAAATTAGATCAGTTACAGTATTAATATATAATAATACATATTAATGTGTTAAAACATATAGGTAAATTTAAATAATTTGATTTATAAAATTAAAGATTTTTTTGGACAGGAATTGCCCGAATAAGTAAAAATCGAACAATTATTTGTTCGATTTTCCAAAAATCAGTTCAATATTTGAATTATCCTGTATAGGCATCGTGTCAAAAATTGAACTGATAGAGATAGATATATTACAATATTATTAGTCACATTTTGCAGGCTTTATATACAACCGATATAACGATAGAAGAATATTTTAGTGATATTGAAGCTCAGATGAAAATAGTAATCAATATGAAGAAATATTAGATTTTAATAACGGACATCAAGATACAGACAGAATCATTATAACTGAAACTCGCGACAGCCTATTAAAACAATCAGACAATCACGTAATTTTTATCCACTTAAACAGGACTCCTTTTGATACAGGCGCCAAAGAATATCGAAAGAAGCAAATTTATTACCTAATTACCAAGATCTTATGTACAAAAAAGCCAACGTACAATCCTTAAATCACGGTAAATTAATATCACTCCCTATAAAACATAATAATCGGACGAATATAGAAATTCAAACTTTAAAAAACTGTATACGTTCTCTCTTAGATGTAGTAATGGAGCTACAATTAACTTCTTTCAGCATCAGTAAAACCGATCATTTTGATGACTTACCCTGGCATTATGTAATAGGTCAAATTCAAGGATACCTGAGAGAATTACCAGTTTGCATAACCATCTGTAAAAACTTAGTCCAAACTCCCCCTATCGAACAACGAGAAGCTCTCATAATTGAAAATCATTCTTTAGCTCACGGTGGTCATAAGGGCATCACTAAAACATACAATCGATTAAGATCTCACTATTATTGGAAAAGCATGAGAAAAGATATACAACATCTCATTCAAAAATGTCGTCAATGTCAATTAAAAAAATTAACAGGAATAAAAACAAAACAACCCATGGTGATTACAGACACGCCTGGTTCTGCATTTGATAAAGTTTCTCTCGATATTGTAGGCCCCCTTCCAATTACAAATACCGGCAATCAGTATATATTAACCATGCAAGATTTGTTAACTAAATATTCAGTAGCTGTTCCCTTAAAAGAAGCAACTTCTTTAGCCATAGCCGATGCTCTTACTAAAAATTTTATTTGCGTTTATGGTACGCCCAAGGCCATCCTCACCGATCAAGGAACTAATTTTTTATCTGCTTTAATGCGCAATCTAACGAAAAAATTTAATATTCAACATTTCAAAACTACCGCTTATCACCCCCAGTCTAACGGGTCAATTGAAAGATCGCACCATGTGTTAACGGAATATTTAAAAACCCAAGTCGAAAAAGAAAAAGAGTGGGATAACTATATCAATATGGCAATGTTTTCATATAATACTAGTGTTCATGAAGGCACTAAATTTATGCCTTTTGAATTAATTTTTGGACGTATAGCACGACTACCTTCTGCCCACATCCCGATAGATGAGAATTTAGAAATCACTTATCAACAATATCTAACGGATTTATTTAATAAACTCACTGATCTGAAAGACGAGGCGCGCAAAAATCTCATAGCAGCTAAAGAAAGAAGTAAACATTATTATGACCGAACAATTAACTTACAGAATTTCCGCGTAGGATCATATGTATTTTTATTAAAAGAACCGGCGAGAGGAAAATTTTCCGACCAATATACAGGTCCTCACGAAGTTATAGAAATTTTACCACAATATAATGTCAAAATTTTGGTAAAAAATAGACCCCGGGTCGTGCATATAAATAAGCTAAAACTCGCTGACGTTGAGCCAGGATGAAGAAACATAACTATTATCTTTAATTACAGATGTGTTGGCATCGCCAACGAATTACCATCCCAGGACAAAAAGCATCATTACCCTCATTAAACGCATATCACCACCTGCGCTTTGCATATTGTGCTAAGGTCCTAGGCTATCTTAAGGTGGATAATACAACTATTCTTTGTCAATCTTGTTATTGGCAATCATTATCTACCCGTCGTAAAATATTATACTTCCCCTTATTTTATCATTTCGTTTCAGACGGATTACGCTATCCAACAGTCTTTTGCGAATATTGTTCAAATTCTGTGTTAACACTATGAGCCCTGCGCGAATGTAACGATTGTACTCTGGAACATTTACAATTTATAACTATAGTAGAGGAAGCCGGAGAAGATATTAACGATTACGAGGATCCAATAATAATAACTGTTAGCGGTGAACAAATAGATTTTCCTTGAAATGTGCATAACTAAACCCCCTAAACGTAAAATACACCCTTTGTTAAAATATTTTCCAAATTTATATGACATAAAATGTGTACGGATAATATGTTACCAGAACAAAGAAGCCAATGATAAAATTTGTATATCTTGTTATGCACCTAGAGAATCAGAAATTTATGAGTTAGCAACAAGCCACGAATTTTTAGACGGAAATCCGAATCCTCGTAAATGTTCGAATTGTGGAAACAAAATAGTGTATATGCGTTGAATTTTGCGATGCGATAGATGTTTTAGCTCATACATTCAATTCATGAATAACTATAGAGAACATTATTCTAATGATATTGCATTTGTAATGTTTGACGTTACTACTCAAGAGATTACTAGTCTTTCCATTTATGAAGATGAACCACAGCTTGAATCGCCCACAGAATTAGAATCTTAACACTTTAATATCTCAATACTTTCAGTAGTTTTACTAGTTATATTTAATATTTTAGCTTTACTCGTTATATAATCCACAAACTTATATAATTATTAGTATTACTTTCAGATAATAAAATTGAGATGAGTTATCTAGTCATTTATATATGAAAAAGACTGTAGATTCTAAGTGCATTTGATCCTTATTTCATCTAATGAAAACCAATATAATCTATAGAACTTACCACTAATAGTAAATAAGGATCACGAGATTTTCATAAACCCATTTATTCATATAAAAAAAAATCTACAAAAATACAAAAAGAAAATGTTGATGCAAAGCGGAAGAGTTTCGGGCAAAAAGGACAGAAAGGCTTTAACAAAGAAGATAAATTTTATTTTCTTAATATGGCTGACTCGCCTCGTATTCTCGATTACAATACTCGCGCTTGAAGTAACAGGTGACTTGTTTGCACAGGATTCCCTCTGATACTCACCGACTAGAATCGATTGACTATACCTTTGATCGCGACACACAGAAGCCCGAGCAAGACTCGATACATCACGAGCATTAATACGCGCGAAACATAAAGGAATATGAACGCGACAAACACTTGCCTTAACACTACCGCCGTTTGAGCGCTTCTAAACCTCGCACATGCTAAGGCTCTCTCGCAACATTTTAAAACGCTCTTTCGGCAACGCCTTTGTAAAGATATCTGCACGCTGTGCCTCTGAGGGTATGTATTCTACTTGGATATCTTTTCTTTTAACTTTCTCTCTTATTGAGTGATATCGAATATCGATATGCTTCGTGCGCTTGTGGAACTCCGCGTTTTTACGAGCTTAATCGCACTCTGATTGTCCACGTATAACTTTGTTGCTCCGTCGCACTTGCGACCGAGACTTTTCAGTAAACCTCTGAGCCACACCGCCTCTCTCGATGCTGCTTCAGCTGCAACGTATTCGGACTCCGTCGTACTTAGGGTTACGAGTTTCTGTCTTTGAGAGGACCACGTAACCGGACCGTTCGATAAATAGAAGACATATCCTGTTGTCGATCGCCTAGTATCTATATCCCCCGCAAAATCTGCATCGGAGAAGCCGATGAGACCTGAATCGCTACTGCCGCTTCGATACTTTATTCCGTAATGTATCGTG